ATATTGTAGTAATTGGCTGTTTATATTGAATGCTTGTAGATGAGCGGCAGGGCTGGACGCCGTGGAAAGGATGAACGTGGCATCTGCATTATTATGATTGATGAACAGGTAATTTATAAGTAATTTTGGTTGAATGTAATTTACATCATTTGCCGGAAACCAGTGAATTCCCATCCAAGAAGATCCCGATATATCTCTGCCTAATATAGTTATATTACATAAAAATATACCACAGCCTTTTTAAAAAATTATATGCACCAAAGAATAGTAGCCTTTATACTGTCTTCGAAGAGGATTGGTTAAAATAATTCTCGTTTTTTTTTGTGTTATTCAACAGATGGAGATGAATACACTCAGGGACATGATGTTGGGCAAACCAGCCCCTTTGCTTAGTACTTTTAGACTGAGTTACTACACAATTTTGAATTTACTCAGTCGTGCCGAAGGACAATTTACTGCTGAGCATGTTATAAGGCACTCGTTCCATCAATTCCAGCATGAAAAGGTAGCTGTTGGATGTTCCTTCTTTTACTCTCTCTAAATTTTATCTTCAATTTTCTTATGCTAATTTGCGGTGGTGTTCCAACCTCAGGCTTTACCGGATATTGGGAATAAAGTGTCCAAACTTGAAGAGGAAGCTGCCATCCTTAATGCTTCTGGAGAGGTGCTCTCAGGAAATTCTAATATGACGTCTGTAAGATTATTTTGGTCTGTTCTCACTTCTTTAATTATTCGCAGGCGGAGGTTGCTGAATACCATAAGCTACAACTTGACGTAGCTCAACATGAAAAGAAACTTATGTCAGAAATAATAAGGCCTGAAAGGGTGCTTTGTTTTCTTGATACTGGTCGGCTGGTAAGTATACATTAAGTTCAGATTCTTGATCAAAGCCTAGAGATATAGAGTCATTGATTCCATTCTGCAGCCTGGAAATGGTAGTTTGGTTTCTTTGTTATTAATGATTTACTGATTATAGGCTCATATACGTTCTCATCTATTATCAGACGAGGAAAGTTAGGAACCAAGTTCTTCAATACTTTTTCCTCTCTAGCCAGTCTCGTAGGTTGTACCTAGATCGTTACATGTTAATCACCTTCATTTAATGTTTAAAAGATGAATGCTCATAGGTTGCTCATCACTGTTCCTCTATGTTATGAAAAAACTTTCTTTCATGGTTTGGTACTTAGTTCAAAAATTTAAAAGCTAAATTATTCAGTGGGAATGTATTGTATATGACTGTAAGTATTTGAAACAACAGGAGGTTCACAGTAACTTACTGGGACAAGTGTTTATGTGCAGGTTAAGATAAGAGAAGGTGGCACAGAATGGGGCTGGGGAGTTGTAGTTAATGTCGTTAAAAAATCTTCAGTTGGAACTGGTGGCGGATATATAGTAGATACTCTGCTTCATTGCTCTACTGGTTTTAGTGAAAATGGTGCCAAGCCAAAGCCATGTCCTCCCCGTTCTGGGGAAAAGGGCGAGATGCATGTGGTGAGCAAATTTTCATTGTCACTGGACTTGCATGTTATTCTATTTGCATGAGTACTGGAGTTTTGAGAATTTTGCTTTTGCTGTAATTAGGTTCCTGTTCAGCTACCCTTAATTTCTGCTTTGAGCAGACTAAGGATATCAGTTCCTTCTGATCTTCGGCCAGTAGAAGCAAGACAGAGTATATTACTTGCAGTACAGGAGTTGTCAAGTCGCTTCCCTCTAGGGTTCCCAAAACTCCATCCAGTCAAGGTTTCTTTTTAAGCTGTTAAAAATGACTTTAGGACTCATCCATCTCGTATTGCATACTGTGTTTTATGCTAGGCTTCAATTTTTGAACTACTGAATTAGCATAAGATGACGTTCAGGTCTCATTGGATTTAAAATAATCTACAGGATATGAATATTCAAGATACAGAGATAGTGGATCTGGTCAGCCAAATTGAAGAAGTTGAGCAGAAGTTACTTGCTCATCCGATGCACAAGGTCTTGCTGCATGCAGTATTCCTTTAGCTTCTTATTTTACCTTTGAATTAAAAGAAATGAGGACAAATTTTTGTGAAAAGCATATACGAAAGCACTTTTTCACTATATAAATAGTCTCATTCTTCTGTGTTGCAGTCTCAAGATGATCAACAAATCAAGAGTTTCGAGAGGAAAGCGGAGGTGAATTATGAAATTCAACAGCTCAAATCAAAAATGCGTGATTCCCAGGTATATTACGTACTTGTTCATCCATAAATAAATCATGCATGGAATCCTTTTTATGAGTGTTCTATCTGCAAGGAATATCTCCTTTTCAGTAGGGGTTTACATGGGATGATAAATTCTGCTTGTTCCAATTTGTGGTGCTTTAAATTTTCTTGTTTTTCTTTCTTTATCTCAGTATAGAATGGAATAGTCTAACAGGGAGACGAATTTATGTTTCATCCCTCTCTCTTACATACACAAAACAAACACATTGTAGAGTGTTCACTGATTACCAGACTCTCTGCTATAGTTTAAGATCTCTTTTCATCCCTCTACTGTCTTACAGCATATTTTTTTTATCTCTGCAGCTCCAAAAGTTTCGAGATGAGCTTAAGAACCGATCTCGGGTATTAAAGAAACTTGGACACATTGATGCGGATGGCGTCGTCCAGTTAAAGGGACGAGCTGCATGCTTGATAGACACTGGGGATGAATTGCTTGTCACTGAACTGATGTTTAATGGTATGAAAACTGATTTAGCTACCCAGTTCTAAGTTTAGGCCTTTTAGGTGACTGTGGCAGTGTTTATTGGTTGTATCACACTATATATAATTGTGTTGTGTTTACATTAAAATCCCTATCAGGTACTTTTAATGATCTGGATCATCACCAAGTAGCAGCCCTTGCAAGCTGTTTCATTCCTGTAGATAAATCAAATGAACAGGTCAATTTAAGGAATGAACTTACTAAACCATTGCAGCAGCTACAAGATAGTGCACGGAAAATTGCGGAGGTAATTTAATTCCCCAGCTGAAAGCTTGTTTATTTATATGCCCGAGCTATTACTTTTTGGAATCTTCATTGTTTTGGTGATGCCAGATACAACATGAATGCAAACTGGAAATTGACGTTGAAGAGTATGTGGAATCCACCATCAGGCCTTTCCTGATGGATGTTATCTACTCTTGGTCAAAGGTTGGTATTAACTTAATCTCAGAGATACTGATTTTTGTTTTTAACAGACGATATATAAACATGAGAGTACTTTCTGTGGATAATCATGTGTCAAGAATTACCCTATTTTCTCAGTAGAACCAAGGAATTATTCGATAGAATACCTAACTCTCCTGAACCACCTTTACCAACTAGTCCAAGTCTGTAGATCCAACCTTTATCGTAATCTTTTACTCTAGCTAACTCGACTACTAAGTGTTAGGCTGACATGGAGATATTAAACCTCTGAGCTCTCTTCATGTCTTATAAGCTTAGAAAAATGAAAACCTGAGTAATAAACTTCATACTTGTTAAGTAAAACTTCTGTATTATGCACATTGAATGTCAATTTGTTCTGCGAGCTACTTGTTCAGTCCTGGATCTTGACCTCAACAGAAATTTGATATTCTCGATTGTTTCTCTTTGAAAGGGCGCGAGCTTTGCAGAGATTATTCAAATGACTGACATATTCGAGGGTAGCATCATTAGGAGCGCTAGAAGGCTCGACGAGTTTTTGAACCAGGTAAATATCACCAAACAAACTCTATGTACCATCTGCAATTACATTTCTGTAAACCTCTAGGAAATCTGATGACACTTTGATTGGTGATTTCTTCAGCTTCGAGCTGCAGCGGATGCAGTTGGAGAAAGCAGTTTAGAGAGCAAGTTTGCTGCTGCTAGCGAGAGCTTGCGACGAGGTATTATGTTTGCAAATTCGCTCTACTTGTAAGTGCTCTCTTGCCATGGGACACAACAACATAGCTTCTTAGAGAAATGCTTGTTTGTACTTGCCTATGTACTCATTGATCTCGAATCACTATAGCTCTTTGTTTGTCAACAAGTTCGATAATGATGAAATTTGCAGAGCTCGTAATAAGGTATATGATTATATTCTAAGTTAACCAGCTTGAGGCTGGGATGGCTTGGTAGTTTCAACATAGTGGTTCTGCTTTTACTTCCATGAATCAGGTTTCAACAGAATGAATCTTAGAAATTTTTGTGGTGACCAAATCTTCTTAGAAATCTTTATAATCGAGTTCTCGTTGGAATATGGATCTGTATTAAGCTTCATATAGAAAAAAGGGGAACTGTTGAGAATGCTTTTTCAAAACTCAAATCTCGAAATTGCTTCAGGCAACATTGGACAAATGCACATGACATGGGAAATGGAGAGATGTTGCAATGTCATGAACCTAACAATTTTCCCGTTAAAATCTTGATGATGTTGTTTCGATGGGAAAATGATTCATTTCGATTAAATAAAAAATTGTTTCAATGGGAAAACAATATTTTATGGCTTTGGCAGAAAAACACAATTCTCTGATTTTCGATTTCGATGAAAAAGATATGTGATTTTAGGAAAAAAATGTTAAATCCAAATTTCCAGAGATTAGTAAAAAAAATTTAAATATAAAATAAATCTATAGAAAATTTATATGTTTTGAGTTATCATTGTTTATGAGTGTATTTTAGACATTTACAATTTTTGGAAGAATCATCTGCATTTGAATGTACAATTTAAACATATCCCGTTGTTTTTTTTTCTTTTTTTGGATGAGTGACAAATCCATCGAGCTACTATATTTAGATGATGTCTTTTAATTGTGTTTAAACGAACACCATTTGGTATCTTCATCTGTATGGAGCAATCAGATGAACAAACGAACATCACCAAAACCTTCCTCTTGACTAGGGGATTCTTCATCTTTTCACGATAAAAACATGATGATGAGTTTTCCTTATTCCTTCTTCCTCTTGACTTGTTTTCTCTACGCTACTCTTTCATCAAGATGTGTTGTTATTGCAACTCTCATGATATCCATACTTGTTGAGAGATTGGTCGCTTATTATCTCCTAAACCCCCAAAAGAACAGAGGAAAAAGAGATGGTTTAGTAATCAAGACATGTTTCATATAATATGAAGTGAAAATAAGTTTTAATTGCTTTGATGTATTTACTTGGATTGAAGTTGTGGATGCTAGAATGTCCGTTTGGCTGTTATTCCGACTGCTTTTTAGGTGAAGGCCGCGTGATATGCATGTTTTCTTCTGCTAAATCCATGAGCCTTTTAAGCTCAGGCAACACAACCTTTCCCAGGTCAGGTCTATCTTTCCGCCTTAATGCTGCGCATTGTAAACCGAGTTTTGCTAATACTAAGGCCTCTTCAAGTGGCCAATCAGCAACCACAGGGTCTAGTACCTTAGAAAATTTTCCTTCCTCAATTGCTCTCTCAACCTGACTTGTCAAGCCCATTGGTGGCTTGGCTGTAAGTATTTCCAAGAGCATAATCCCGAATGAGTATATGTCCGATTTGGTTCCAAGCATACCAGTTTGTTGGTATTCTGGATCAATATAACACATGGTTCCAGCAGCGGACGTCATTCTATAATGTGTTGTGATGCCATCATCAACCAAGGGAGCTGGGACAAGCCTAGCCAACCCAACATCAGAGATCTTGCTGACCATGTGCTGGTCAAGTAATATGTTGGCTGGTTTCAAGTCGCGGTGCACTAGTGGCTCTGGTTTTAGCTGGTGAAGGAAATTAAGACTCGTGGCGATTTCAGCTGCAATGCGGAATCTTAGCTGCCATGAAAGAACTGGAGAGTTGCCTCGTCTAAGGAGACAATCTTCTAAGCTCCCATTTTCCATGTATTCATAGACTAAACACCCGTATTCCGCGCAGGCTCCAAGCAACAGAACCATATTAGGATGTCTTATACAGGTCAAGACTTCCACTTCTTGCTGGAACTGTGATCTTCCTTGTGTTGCATCTGGTCTCACAACTTTTATCGCCACTGGTGTGTAATCTAGAATACCCTTGTAAACAGGTCCATAACCGCCTTCCCCAATCTTGTGACTATCTGAGAAATTTTCTGTTCCTTCTTCAATCTCCTCAATCGTGTATTTTCTATACATTCTATCACTATGAGTTAAAGAATGCATTTCTTTATTGTTATCATCTACTTCTCTCAGAGCTGCCGTTTCGATTTGCTTTCTCTTTTGAGCTTCGATTTCTGCCATTCTATGAGCGGCCGCTAATGCTTCCATAGCTGCTCTGCTCTTTGCCTTCTCATTCTCTGCTATTGCCAGCGCTGCTTCTTTGGCAAGTATTGCTTCTTCTAGTTTATGTTTCCTTTCCTCTTTCCATTTGTGTAACTCAGTAGTCTGAAAAAACATAGAATCATGTCTTAATATCATAAAAATGGATGATTATTTCAATTGTATATATGTAGTTATATATACCGTCTTCTTAGCTGCGATTGCTTCTTTGCATGCACTACTATACATGTCCATTGTATACTTTAGCTCTAGTTTTAGCCTTCTCATCTCAGATTCTACATCATCCTGTAAAAGTTTATAGAGTAATCAATAAATATTAAGTAAGGCATGAAAAAATGTGATTAGTAAATTACTTTTCTTATTAATTTACCTGGCTATGCATTGACAATGAGGAGAGTCTCCCACTTTCTTGTGAGCTTGTGGAGAATGCAGAATAAGAAGAACCCAAATCTATGGACTGCTTATCTGATGAGCTTGAGGATGTAGCAAAGCTATCTCGGTTGTCTTCAAACTCTGAAGTAACCGATAGGCGAGACGTTGGGAAAAACCAATCCACGCTTGGCCTATCACTACTCATAAACGATAAGTCGGAGTCTGCCACTGAGGCCTGGTATGTCCCTTGATCATATTCTTTTCTCAAATATGGACACCTATTCATATTATTATCACTCAGTTAGTTGCATACAAAAGATTATAAAATATCATAAGCATGTTGGTATATTTTCAGGAAAACATACTTGATCATCTCGATCTCGTCTTGTGTACTTTCCACTGATTGAAGCCTTCTCTCAGTTCTAGGACTGGAGTCGTTGTTGCTGGCATTGCTCGCCCGAGCTGGGAATTGTGGACGTATTGTGCAAAGTGGAGGAGGTGAAGAGGTAGCTGATCTAACGGACGAGATTTTACCTTTAGAGATTGCATAAACTGTACAGAAATTTGGTGCTCCTTTCATCACTGTGCTTGTAACATCTACCGCTTTGAACCGCCTATCGAAACACCACAAACACATATTTACTTAATATAAGACTTTTTTTGTATTGACAAGAAGAGTTACAAGAAGAAATCTTCTTACTTTAAAAGAGTCATCTTAGATGCACCGAGTACTAGAATATCGATTGCATTCTCTTGCACATACTCTATGATTCCTTTTGCAGCATCAACGTCCTCCAATACTACCTCTTCACAATTTATCTGTCAACAATACTCTCAATCTTTAACATTTTTGACCATCCCTCTCCCTAATTACTTATTAACGAATAAATTAACCTAATGATATTAATAGAAATTTATGTGTTTTTAAGTGATAGTTTCGATAGATAATGTTTTCATGTGAAAATCGCGATAATACTTTAAACAAATTGACGAAGCGGGGCGCAAAACTCACGTCTTTTCTAGTGCAGAAACAACGGAATGGAAGAAACAATTCCTTAACGTCATCTCCAGACTTATTTGGTTGAGTCCCTACATCAACATTATGATGTTTTATTCAAGGTAAATTTGAAACGAAGTTGATTATAGAATATGTAGAAATGGGCGTTAAGGGATTACCATTATTAGCAAGGGTTTGCTTGACTCTGACATGGACAAGAGTAAGAGTCTCTCCTGGTGTCAAAAGATTATCAACAGCCCATTTCAATGCAGCCTGACTTCCTTTGTCTCGATCGATAGCAATTGCGACGCTTTCGTCTCTTCGCTCACCGTTTACCATCTTCACCATTTCCAAAAACTCTTGCCAAAACAAACAGGATTTCTACAATTTGGTTATAAATGCAAAATATTGGGTTACAAAGGCGTTGAAAAAATATGCCAATATTAGCAAATAGGCAAGATACAACAAGGTTTTTAACTCTCTTTTCGGTTATGTTCTGTTGCCTTCCATCGTGTCTTTTCTAGTTGTTTTTGTAGGGAATGCTGTTATTTTATAACTGAGATAATATTTTGCATATCTCGAGCTGTGTTTGGTGGTAACGTAAAACTGTAGTAAATTTATACACATCTTTCATTAACATTCATGCTTTCTATTTTTATCTAGTTCTTATCCAACGTATAATAAAATTTCTATACATTGTATTCGCATATGTAACTTTCTTTCATCAATAACCAAATATCTACTAAACGTAACACATTACTCTTTTCAATGTTAAAATGCTAATTTATAGACAATATGTTTACGGGTCACATGATGTTTTCTAAAATTTTATAATCTTTTGATTTTAGAAAATAATATTAATAACTAAAAAATAATTATAATTCATCATATTCATATTTCATTATGCGCTAAACTAGGAAGCACGGAAGCTCCGTCCGTAGTCCGATTCCCGCTTCGGAAGCTAAAACGGAATCGGAAGCTTTAGGAAACGCCCGGAAGCGTGGTGGAAGCGCCATTCAGAAAAAAGCAAATCGGAAGCGTTTTGCAAGCTATGATTCCGTTTTGGAAGCTTTCTATTTTTGATGCGATTCTGATTTTGGAATCGTTATTAAGGAAATATTTTAGGAAGCGTGGTATATATATATTTTGTATTTCTTAATTAGATTATAATTTAGAAAACCCTATCTACAGTTCACAAAACAAAATAATACCAATCATGGCTTTACTTATGTTAAAAAAAATTAAACATATAAGATATTACTTATTTAGTACTTAATATTGAATGTAGCAAATTTATAGTTGGATAAGGTAAACTGCAAATTTTTACATGCATGTGCCACTTCAATATGTGTTCGTTTCGACACATGACATTCATATGTCGATGGTTTATTTATTGTATTGGCTACAAACCTCATGCATGATATGTTCAACGTCGAAAAAAATACATTCTAAATAATCGAAAAAACATAACTATTATTCCCATCCATGTTGAAGAAAATATAAGAAAAGTAAATCAAAAAAGAAAAGAAAAAAACACCATAGAAACAGGAAGTGTCTGAAGTTCCACCACAAATCTCTAAGTAACTTTCTCAAAAAACAAAGACTTCGTCAACACAAACTTTCTTTTGATAGACCACAAATATTTCTTGTATTTGTCTATTCTTGGTATGCTTTGATACAAACCTCTCTTCTTCATCACTTGCTCTCTCTCTTTCTTTCTCTTTCGTTCCTCTGCCATTTCATCCCATCTCAAATTATCGTCGTCTTTGTTCATCTCCAGAGACTCTCCTTGCATCTTCCTTTAGAGGGCGCGCCTCCCGTGCGCCTTCTTTAACTACTTATGGAATCCACATGTCTCCTCTTCTTTTCCATTGTAGCTATCTTCTTCGTGGCTGGTCATGGCGTATCAGAGACCGAATCTCTCTTGAAATTCAAGAATTCTATTGTTATTGGGAGAGAAAATGCTTTGGAGAACTGGAATAGAAGGAATCCTCCATGCAAATGGACTGGTGTCTTGTGTGATAGAGGCTTTGTTTGGGGGTTACGACTAGAGAATTTTGAGATCTCCGGCTCTATAGATATCGAGGCGTTGATGGATTTGAAGTCTCTAAGGTCTCTTAGCTTCATAAACAACAAACTTAGAGGTCCATTTCCAGAGTTCAAGAAACTTGTTGCTTTGAAATCGCTTTACTTGTCAAACAATCAATTCGACGTAGAGATACCTAAGGATGCATTTGATGGGATGGGGTGGTTGAAAAAACTCCATCTGGAGAACAATAATTTTAGTGGTGAAATTCCAACGTCCTTGGTTAAAAGTCCCAAGCTTTTAGAGCTTAGACTTGACGGGAACCGGTTCACTGGACAAATACCAGAATTCACACATCAACCACACATGTTAAACCTTTCAAACAATGCATTGGCAGGTCAAATCCCAAATATTCTCAGTACAATGGATTCAAAATTGTTTGAAGGTGCACCAATTTTATTCATTTTTGTTAAACTCTTAACAAACCACAATATATAATTGTTTTTTTATATAGAAAACTATGTTTTTTTCTTTGGCAGGAAACAAAGGCTTATGTGGGAAACCCTTGGATACAAAGTGTACTTCTTCTTACATTCTTTCCCAAGAGCCCAAGTCAAGCCCCAAGAAAAAATCATTTAAGTTTTTGTACATTGTAGCTATAGCGATAGCAGCACTGGCTGCATTACTCGTAATTATTGGATTGATCATCTTCCTTTACCGGAGACGAGCGAAAAGACAACCACTATTGTCAGCAGAACCTGGACCATCAAGTCTACAAATGAGAGCTGGAATCCAAGAAAGTGAAAGGGGACAAAGTAGCTACCATTCACAAAACCGCGCTGCAAAAAAGATGATTCATACCACAAAATTGTCATTTTTGAGAGATGACAAGGGAAAATTTGAGTTGCAAGATTTATTGAAAGCATCGGCAGAGATTTTAGGAAGTGGATGTTTCGGAGCATCGTATAAGACATTGCTTTCGAACGGATCAGTGATGGTAGTGAAGAGGTTTAAACATATGAATAAGGCAGGAATTGAGGAGTTCCAAGAACACATGAAGAGGTTGGGGAGGTTAAACCATGAGAATTTGCTCCCCATTGTGGCTTATTACTATAAAAAAGAGGAAAAGCTTTTTGTTTCCGATTTTGTTGCGAATGGAAGCTTGGCTGCTCATCTACATGGTATAATTTGCTTTTCTCTCTTTACATTTTCATTAGCAAAAAATACTACTAAATCATTTTTTGCTTATGATTTGTGTTTTTTGTTCTATGTATTATTTTAGGTCATAAATCTTTAGGGCAACCAAGCTTGGATTGGCCAACAAGATTGAATATTGTGAAAGGTGTTGGAAGGGGACTTTTATACCTCAACAAAAACCTACCTAGCCTAATGGCTCCTCATGGTCATCTAAAATCATCTAATGTTCTTCTCAGTGAGAAATTTGAGCCTCTTCTTATGGACTATGGCTTGATCCCAATGATCAACGAAGAGAGCGCGCAAGAGCTCATGGTGGCTTACAAATCCCCAGAGTACTTAAAACAAAACCGCGTGACCAAGAAAACCGATGTGTGGGGGCTCGGGGTACTAATCTTGGAGATTCTTACAGGAAAGTTACCTGAAAGTTTCCCGCAAATCGATAAAGAAAGCGAGGAGGACCTAGCGAGCTGGGTGAGGTCGAGTTTTAAAGGAGAGTGGACACAGGAATTATTTGATCAAGAAATGGGGAAAACAAGCAATTGTGAAGCACATATACTCAAACTCTTGAATATTGGACTGAGTTGTTGTGAAGTAGATGTGGAGAAAAGGTTAGATATAAGAGAGGCTGTTGAGAAGATGGAAGATTTGATGAAGGAGAGAGAACAAGGAGATGATGATTTTTACTCAACATATGCGAGTGAAGCTGATGGGAGATCATCGAGGGGAGTATCAAGTGAGGCAATTAACTTGTCATGAAAATGAGATCGACAAAGCCAGCAAGTAAATTTTCATGCAAGAGTTGTGTCTTAAAACCACAACTTGGTTGGACTTAATTGATGTCAACACTACTTCAATATATGGGATCCCCCTTAAAGTAGAAAAAAGTTGGTTTTGTGTTGACGTGTGATGTTATTGTGGGAATTTTATCTGCAAGAAAATAATGTAGAGGACAAGATCTTTCTTACTTTTTAACCAAAAAGCAGAGACAAACCCAAAAATTACAAACCAACTTTTTTAAAAATATAATGTACTCAAAATTTGTACTACATAGGACGTAGACTCACATGGAATCTCTTTTCCAGTTGTTTCTACATATTCTCTGCCAAGATCGGACGTAGACTCACATGGAATCAAACTATATAAACCGATTTAGTTTAGTTAGTGAAATTTAAATAGTTCGGTTCTGAACCGAACCCAGGGCGTACTCTAATGTTCCAAAACAAAAGTGTTAACTAAAATTTAGTTTTGGTTCCACTGTTAATCAACACACTTAACACCGTTTATTTCCATTAGTTAATGTCTCACATTACCTTTAAGAGTGAAACGGTGCCGTTTAATAAGAATTCCAGATTTTGCAGTACAAAATTCGCATCACAAGAAAGGGAACCCTAAAATCCAACGACCTATCTCTCTTCTCCTTCGTTTTCGTTCCCGTGGAACTTACTTCCGCTGCTTAATCTGCCACCTCCATCAACTGGCAGCATCATTCTGAGCAAGACCGTCGGTCACAGGTAAGCTTTTGCATCACATCGAGATACCAAACCCTAATTTATAGGGATGCCTAATCCTAGCCCTTGGTCGGAGCTCTGTCCCGATTTGCTGGAATCTATTTTCGAACGATTAAGCTTTGCAGATTTCCATCGCATGAAGCTTGTGTGTTCAAACTGGAATTCGAGTTCAAAACGAGCAATGGCCCGAAAAATCGAACCTCCATGGCTAATACTGTTTCCATACGGTGAGGAAAACGTTTGCGTGCTTTACAATCCAGACGAAGACAGAATTTACAAAATAGTTAGAGACTTCTCAGGGACTCAAATCGTGGCAAACTCTGGTAAATGGTTTCTGATGGTAGATTCTGGATGCAATTTGTATATTATGGATGTGTTTAGTGAGAACAGGATCGATCTTCCGCCTCTAGCGTCGCTCCTACAACTTGCCTATGCTCTCAAGTCTGTGAGAGATAAGCAATGTAATAATTTTGGATTATCTAGTGGCTGTTACCAGAAAGAGATAGCCCGTAATCTGAGGGGCCGTTTGTGGGTAGACGAGAAGACGGGAGAGTTCGTTGTAGTGTGGTTCTTTGACCCTGATATTTATTTATTCTATTGCAAGAAGGGGGATAACCATTACACTATCATTTCGTTGTATCACGAAGTCCCCAAGTTATTAAAAGGCTTAAATGATCTAGTACTCCGGGGTTACCGTCTTTACATAGCATCTAAACGTGGTTTCGTTCGAGTTCTAGATTTGTCTGGACAACAAGATTTCGAGGATGTCACCGGGAGTAACCCAAAGCCAATGTTTTCTCCTCTCGGGGAACATAATTCTTTTAGCATTGCCGTTACAACAACAGCAGAGGTTTTGTTGGTCGAGAGCAAAACCTTCGAAAACCAGAGGACCTTCCGCCTCTTTAAGAAGGATCCTAACAATGCAGACCCACTTGTCCACAGCCCCAAGCTTCTTGAGGTAGATTCTCTTGGTGATGAAGCCCTGCTTCTTGACTTGGGTATTACGGTACCGGCTAACCATACCATTGGTATCAAACCAAACTCTATCTATTTCACCCGTCATGACCGTGCCTGTCTCCGCATCCCTTTTGATCTTGACATCTGTGTGTTCAATCTTGCAACCAAGACCCTCAAACGCTTCCCTCAACTCGCCAACATGAATCTCAAGGATGCTCAATGGTTTCTCCCTATGACTTGATTCATGCATTTTGATGTTCTTGAAAGTTCTTGTTTCCTTTTAGTTCTATATGTAGTCGTCTTTTTGCCTTTTGTTTAATTCTATTCATTAATTGGTTGTTGCACGTTTTGATTTAGAAAAAAATATATGTAATACGATCGTGTGTCTTCAACTGCATGTACTAGCTAGTGAATAATGGTGATAAGTGTTGGGATCAAAAGAGAATTTTAAATTTATATGATAAAGTTGTTGAAGTCTAAGAAATCATCATCTCCTAGCCAATCAATAATTTTTCAACAGGAAACACATTGTTAAAGTATTATTTATTTTTTCTTCTAAAACTTCTCGTAAGCCTAATAAATTACTGTATCTACTAAAGTTAATAATGTATCGTCAAGGTCTTTTGGGCCATCTTTTTACGAAGAGACACATAGGTCCAAATAATTACATAGGTAGCAGTTATTTCAGGATATGAAGAAGAACTACAGAGATGAAGAAATAGGTCCATAGATCCTTCCACAATCTTACTAACCTTCTGCTCAATATCAAAGACTCTTGGAGCATTATTCTGCTTGAATCTAGACAACAATTTATTCCATATTTCTTGAGTATTAATTTGCTATGAAAAGTAAACTCTAACCAATCTTTTTTTATCAACCGAATTCACCAACAAAGTAGAAACAATATCATTACACCTAGTCCAAGCACCAAATCTATGATCTTCACGTGATTTAGAAATTGCATACCATTAATGAATCCCAATTTATTCTTGACATTCAAAGCCATCCAAATAGAACGACATCAAGAATGAAAATCATAAGCATTAGAGCATCTCCTGTGCCCATCTCTATATTTTTCCTCTATTTTAGAGAAACTCTAGTTTAGAGGAGATTTTGCTTCAATGTATGTCTTTAAAATAGAGGAGAAAGACAATGGATTACTCTATATATAGAGGCATACATTGTCTTTCTCCTCTATTTTAGAGGAGAATTTGCTCTAATGTATCCATCTAAAATAGAGTTTCCTCTAAAATAGTGGAGAGAGACATTGAATTACTCTTATATATAAAGGTATACATTGTCTCTCTCCTCTATTATAGAAGAAACTATATATTAGAGGGATACATTGGAACAAAATCTCCTTTAAAATAGAGTTTATAGAGAAAAAAGATAGAGATGGGTATTGGAGATGGTCTTAGAGGCATACATTGGGGCAAAATCTTCTCAAAAATAAAGGAAAATACAGAGATGGACATTGAAGATGCTCTTAGTAAGTCGATCTGTAACAAGAACAAGACATGCGTGATCATCATTGTGGAGATAGTACAGATTCCCATACTGATCAGCATTGTGGAGATAGTACGGATTCCCATACTAATTTTCTGGATACCTTAGTTGTTAACCAAAATTAAACGGAGGGCGATTCACCAGAACACTAGATGGAGGTACGTAAGATCCCATTTTGAGAGTAAGAACAAGAAATTTCAAAGAAAAGTGAGACGGAATTGTGATATAGAAGCTAGATTCGTCAACACCAGAAGTTAATCAAAGAGATATCAAAAGAATCAAAATGGAAAAGTAGATTGCAGCGAACAAATCACGAATAGCGAGAACAAGAAATTGAAGAAAACGAAGCAATGAACATACCGGGAAACTCATCACCGTCTTACCGATGAACACAAAGAAATTAAAGCGGAAGATCAAAGTTTGTGCTTTGATATCATAATAAACTCCGATATCGGAGATTCAAGATCGGAGAAGAGAGAGTTTAAACGGAAAGATAACAAACTTTTTATTATCACCCAAAATGTTGTTACAAAGCTTAATCAAAAAATGTAAATACACAAGATTAATAAGAGCATCAAACCAAGATGAGATTAACTAATAATATTAACCAGAGATAACTGGTCCATGTATCTTTAATATCTTTCATTGTGTATGTCAAGATGGATATTACACAATATGTATATAACAATATCACTCTTTAACAAGATTACACCTACTCCATGATTATATATATTAATTAAAATTTAGTTTAGTTTAGAAAAAGTTAGACCCAAATTTTGTGTTAGGGCTACCGAATTTCCTGATCGCGAAGCAAATCTGAACTTAAAAACCAAACCAAACCAAACTAATCAAAATTCATTAAAAATACTATTTTAATTAAATGTATAAAATGGTTGTAATGTTTCTAATTGTTATTCTAACTATATAAACCCGCGCCCAAATGGCTTGAACAACATCTTTGCACTAATTTTACCAACTCAACTAGTGATTGACCCGCGGTACACCGCGGGACGATATTTTATAAAAAAAAATGAATTTTAAGTTGTATTTGTTTTGTTAATATTATTTGTTTTGTTTAGTGTTTAAGATTATATAAGTATATTTTGATTGTTAATTTTAGGATTTCACTCGTGGTATACCATCCCGTATTAATATTGACCATAACTCATCTCACCATATAACTCTGTCCCGTAAAATTAAACATCATTTTGTCATTTTCTTATAAAATTCCAATATTTATAATAATTGAAACTTCAAAAAAATTTTAATATCGACCCAAATTTCATAATTGTATTTTGATTGTTCTATCGAGAATTCCACACGTAGTATACCGTCCCGTATTAATATCTTTTTTAAAATATTTATAATGTTTAAACTTCTTATAAATTCATATAAAGTTCAAATATTTATAATATTTGAAACTTTATAAAATTTTTAATATTATAAATATTTAAACCGTTTTATAAAGTTTAACTTTTTAAAAAGTTTACATAATTATAATATTTAAATTTTAATAAACTTTAATTATTTATAATATTTTGAATTTGTATATATAACAGTGTTGGATTTTAACAAAAAAAAATTATTTCGTATTAAAGCTATATGATTACACTTTTGGATTGTTAGATTTAACCCATAAAACATATGTAATTTAGTAACTCAATTATACATTTAGATATTGACCCGTGGGAGAATTTTAACTTTTTAATTTTGATCTTCATAACTTTATGATTTTTGTAGTATATAAAACTGATTGGTGGTGTATGGTTTTTGATAAAATTTAGCTCTTATAGTTAATTTGATAAAAAAAAAAAATGTTAGCAATGTGCCATGCTAATTTCATTCTTTGATGTATTAAAATTTGAGATCACTAACCTGAATTTTTAACATTACTTATCAAAGCAGTGATCCGAGCCTCCAATTCTCCCTTTTCTTTTGCACCGACCATTAGCAATCCTAAATTCAGAGATATTATGAGTTTCGTCTACCTATAGAAACAAACAAAATAAAGATGAGGTTAATGGTGCTAACCAGCCCCGGCTCTAGGCATGTGCTAGGAGTGCCATAGCACATGGTCTATTACTTTTTTTTGTCTTTTTCTGAATAAAATAAGGTCCAAAATTTTTTTTCTTCCAAAAACCATAAAGAAAAAGGCCCAATTTTTTTTCCCAGCTCAGGGACTTTAATAAAATTGAGCCTGCCTTGGTGCTAACATAAAGATTTGACCAAAATAAGCCATATATACAAAAGAACGTGTAAAGAGTTTTATCTTTACGTGCTATAATGTGTTTAAAAATGAGATGAGAGGTAATGGTAAAGACTAAAGAGTATATATAGGCATCAACACATTAGGTCATAAATCTCTTGGTGACCAAGGAAAATATATTTGATACCTTAATAAAATGGAACAAAAAATATTGAATCGGATTTTTTTTGGAATATACTACTATGAAGAATATATCTGTAATTAATATTTTCTATAAAATCGTTGTAGTCAATATTTTGTGTGAAAAAAAATGACGGGAAGGATTATGTGTGAATAAGTAACTGTAATCACATTAATTATTCGGTTGTTTGGAAAGATTTGCTTCGATATTTATGGAAACTGATTGATTTAATTCGTTTATTAACTTACCCAGCACCGAAAATTGTGGGTACGTTTACTTTTGGAGAATTTATTTTGTTAAGATTTTCATATTTTGATAATTAAGGTTTGATTATAAAAAATGGTAATTAAGGTTTGATTAGGATTAGTTTTTGGTTAGTTGTTTAAATTTCGTAGATATGCCCGAGATTACTGTGATAAAGAGTTTTAATTTCGAATATTTGACTTCCATATGTTAGGATTTGATATCTCGCAACCATAAAAATAGGAAATGTTTTAAGAGTTTGTTTATTGATTTGTAAATTTGATTAAGACATATATTTTTTCCAGATTTTATTTGTAGGGACTAAATGTACAATATTGAAATTGTAAAAGGATTTTTGAGGCCAAATCTTCACCGAAAATGTATATATAGATATAAAGCTTATTTTGACAAAAATAAATAAACTAAATGTATAAAATATATAAATTTAAATATTTTAATTTAAATCCGTTAAATATTTATATATTTTTGTAATTTATTTGTCAAAAAAAAAACAAACCAAACGAAAATATAATTCGATTCCTAGTGAAGCTTATTTTTGAAAACCAAAAAAAAAATCCGAACCGGAAAAAATTGAACGAAACCGAAATAAAATTATTTCCGAATAGAAAATCCAAAAAACCAACCAAACGGTTTTCGTGCGGTTTACGTTTTTGGGTGGAACGAAGCGGTTTTTGTTCCACTACTGTTATTCTGTTAAACAACACTTAAACCCTGTTTAATTCGCTTTCATACTAAAACGGCGCCGGTTAATTATACAAGAATTCCCAAACTGAAGTCAAAATTCCCCCACAAGAAATTGAACCCTAAAAACCCACGAACGATCTCTCTCTTGGACCTTACCTCCGCCGCTTAATAATCTGCCACCTCCATCAACTGCAGCATCATTCTGAGCAGAACGTCGGTCACATGTAAGCTTTTGCACCAAATCGAGATTACCAAACCCTAATTTAATAGGGATGCCTAATCCTGGCCCTTGGTCGGAGCTCTATCCCGATTTGTTGGAATCTATTTTCGAACGATTGTGCTTAGCAGATGTCCATCGCGCGAAGCTTGTGTGTTTAAACTGGAATACGAGTTCGAAACGATCAGTGGCCCGAAAAATCAAAACTCCATGGCTAATAGTACTGTTTGTAGACGATGAAAAAGACGTTTACGTGCTTTACAATCCAAACGAAGACAGAATTTACAAACCAGTTAGAGACTTCTCAGGGATTCGATTTCTGGCAAACTCGGGTAAATGGTTTCTGATGTTAGATTCTGGATGCAACTTGTATATTATGGATGTGTTTAGCGAGAAAAGGATCGATCTTCCGCCTCTAGAGTCCCTTGTATCAAGTACATATGCTCTCAAGCCTTCGGGAGATAAGGAATATAGTTTGATATTACCTAGTGGCTCTTGTTGCATATTGAACACCAGTTATCTGAGAAGCCGTTTGTGGGTAGATGAGAAGACAGGAGAGTTCGTCCTAGTGTTGTTCTTTGATCCTTCTCCTTATTTATTCTATTGCAAGAATGGGGACAATCATTACACTGTCATTCCCGTAGAAGACATATTTCCCAATATGTTGCAAGGCGTAACTGATCTAGTACTCCGGGGTTACCGTCTTTACATTGCATCAAACCGTCGTTGCGTTCGAGTTATAGATTTGTCTGGAGATGAAGGTTTTGAGGATGTCACCGGGAGTAACCCAAAGCCAATGTTATCTCCTCTCGGAGAAAATGATTCTTTTAACATTGTGGTTACGACAGCAGGAGAGGCTTTGTTGGTGGAGAGCACAACCTTTGAAAACCAGAGAACCTTCCGCATCTACAAGAAGGATCCTAATGCTGACCCTGAGGACCAAATGCCCCATCTTGTTGAGGTAGATTCTCTTGGTGATGAGGCCCTGCTTCTCGACTTGGGTATTACTGTGCCTGCTAACCATGCCCTTGGTATCCAACCAAACACTATCTATTTCACACGTCATAACCGTGTCCGTTACCGCGTGTCTTTTGATCTGGAAATCTGTGTGTTCAATGTTGCAACCAAGACCATCATCAAACACTTACCTCATCTTGCCAACTTGAAACCCAGGGATGCTCTATGGTTTCTCCCTATGACTTGATTCATGATTTTTGATGTTCTTGATTCCTTTTAGTTCTATATATAGTCGTCTTTTTGCGTTTTGTTTGATTCTATTCATTAATTGGTTCTTGCACGTAGTGATTTAGAAAAGATATATAATTCGATTGTGTGTCCTCAACTACATGTACTAGTGAATAGAGGTGATAAGTCTTGGGAGCAAAGAAGAAGAAACATCGAGAAAAAGGCATCAGGATTGATTTCTCATGCACTGCAGAAATTCAAACACATCAGAGGAGGAAGCAAACGTTATTAGTTGTAGAGAAAAATGATTAGTTTTTACCATCAAGAAGTCATCCAAAGACCAAACACTAACAAATGTCACTATAACTTCAATTCCAAGCTTAATCACAGCAAGTATTGGACTTTTTCGTCTTAGGCAGGACCAAAATATGCACTCATCTGCAACATAGACATGATGACACATGTTATAAACTGGAACAGAATATGATACTATTACGTTTGAAGAGGCATTATGTGTCAGAGCATCAGGAATAAAAGCCGAAAGTCACCTGTTTATGGCTGAAAAACAGAGTACTGCAGACATAATATCCATTGTTAGTCGTCCCAAGCTTATTTATACAATTGTACAATAACAAACAATAAAAAGCTCTAATCAGAATCATCACCATCACAACCAGAGAATATAATATATACATCGTCACAATACAAATAGAGGGTAGGTCAATCAATACAAACCTGAAAATGACTGTGAATGATCAATGAGAATTAAACAAGGTTTTATAAAAATCATATCAATATGACAATATGCCATATGCCACTTCAGTGTTATAAAAAGAAATTTTCTTTTAAGTGAAAGAAAAAAGGAAATTTCCTTTTTTTTTTTTTTATATATCGATGGGTGAGGTTTTGATATAAAACCAAACATCGTCTTCTTCTCACAAGAGAGAATCGACAGGAGCATCAGACCAACCGTAGAGAGCATAATCACGGACGTGGTATCGGTGATCAAATTCGGATACATGGCAACTCTTGAAGATTCTTTCTACGCAGACCTTGACGAGTTATCTGACAATGAAGCAGAACTGGATGCTAGAACAGAGGAGGAAGACAATATTGACATGGAAGACTTAGAAACCCTAAACTTAGATGATCTCTCGAGAGTTTCTAAGCTACAGGAAACTCATAGATACGCTGATATAATGCATAAACTGGAAAAGGCTCTCGGGAAGGATTCGGATGGAGGAGCAGAGATGGGAACTGTATTGGAAGACAAGCTTATCGTTGATTGCAATCAGCTCTCAGCTGATATCGAGAATGAGATTGTGATCGTCCACAACTTTATCCGCGACAAGTACAGACTTAAGTACCCAGAGCTTGAGTCGCTGGTACATGACCCAATAGATTACGCCCGTGTCGTGAAAAAAATTGCCAATGAGACAGATATAACTCTTGTTGATATGGAAGGCCTTCTTCAACCAGCTACTGTTATTGCTGTTTCAGTTACTGCTTTAACCACAAAAGGGAAACCACTTCCAGATAGTATCCTACGAAAGACGTTAGACGCTTGTGATCACGCTATTGTTCTTGATTCGGCAAGGAAAAAGGTTCTTGAGTTTGTTGAAAGTAAGATGGGATCTATCGCACCAAATCTCGCTGCTATTGTCGGGAGTGCTGTTGCAGCCAAGCTTATGGGAACTGCTGGAGGTTTATCGGCACTTGCAAACATGCCTGCTTGTAATGTTCTAGTTCTTGGCCACAACAGGAAGAACCGTGTCGGATTCTCTACTGCAATGTCACAGTCTCGTGCGGGTTATTTGGAGCAGACAGAGATTTTCCAAAGCACGCCTCCTGAACTTCGAATGCGCGCTAGCAGGCTCTTGGCTTCAAAATCGACTTTGGCAGCAAGAGTTGACGCTACTAGAGGAGATCCATCTGGAACAAACGGGAAAGCTTTGAGGGAGGAAATCCGCAAGAATATTGACAAGTGGCAAGAGCCTCCTCCTGCAAGGCAACCTAAGCCACTTCATGTTCCTTATTCTGTGCCTAAAAAGAGAAGGGGTGGTCGCCGTCTAAGAAAAATGAAAGAAAGGTATCAAGTGACAGACATGAGAAAGTTGGCCAACAGGATGGCGTTTGGTACACCCGAAGAGAGCTCTCTTGGTGATGGATTAGGTATCGGATATGGAATGCTTGGTCAGGCTGGGAGCAATAGGCTGCGTGTTTCGAGCAAGCTGAAAGTTAATGCTAAGGTCGCCAAAAAGCGACAGTTCACAGGTGGTTCTACTACCTCTGGTTTGATGACATCAAGTCTGGCTTTCACTCTTGTGCAAGGAATAGAGTTGTGCAATCCTCAGGCATTAGGATTAGTGAGTGGGATTCAAAGCACTTACTTCTCAGAGTCAGGAACTTTTTCCAAACTCAAGAAGATTTAAACTTCCCACACAGAGAGAAACAACAATAACAGGACATCTCCAATGAACCTATATTTCTTACAAATGAATACTAGATTTTATAACGTTTTGACTTATAAGTTTTACGTAAGTCCAAAACTGCAGAATGTATTCTCGGCAATTGACGTCTCCTAAAAAATTAATGTACTCTGTTGTTGAAACAGCCTTCTGCTTCATGTACAATTGTTGTTGTAATAAAGTTTCTGTGATTGGAATCACTATTTTGTCCCATTCTAGCTTTGCACCCATTATATACTCGATTGCAGGCCTAGATATAGAAGCTGTCTGCAAATCAAACGTCATAAGTGATGAAAATGAATGCCGTCTCTGAGATCGCCATTCTTGCTTCATGTAGAACTTCATATTCTCATAGAAAAACTGTAGTAGTCCTCTTAAATCATATCTCATCCTCATGTGGGCACATCAGCCTTGACAAATGAGATTGTCTCATCCGTCTCCAAGGTTTACATCTCCATAGCATTGTTAAGCACCTGAGATAATCCATTATTATGGCCCACTTGCCACTCTCTTCTATCGTGGCTTTGTACTTGAATTTCCATGTTTTAAAAAACTTTTGTTCCTTAAAATTGTGCAAGACTATGGCAATGGCTTCACTCATCAATAGTATCAGGAACTAATCCGAACACGCTAGTTCCATTAATGGACTGAAAGTTCACCAAACTCCACCACATAGGTTCTGAAAATGTTTTCTTTATGTGAATAAGTAACTGCATTCTCCTCAAAAATTGTGTTTTGGTATCAACTCCCATTGTATCTTTGAACCAAAGTTGTTCATGTACCAAAACTCTTCCCTGTGTCTGGTTTTTGAACTTAAATCTCCAAGATTTGAAGCACTTTCTCTGCTTTCTTCTACTTGGTTGTCTTCTAAACCTGTGAGAAAACAGTTGGTGTGCTCAAGAAGGCTGCAATATATCAGTTGGAGATATTGTGATAGCTTTCTCCATTAGCAACAGATTGCTCACTAATTTCTTCCACAACTGGTGATTTTTTCTGTGACTCCACTCTTTGTTCTTGAACATTCAGTGACTCATCATGACAGAGCAATGCATACTTCTGAATCGAGTCACTGACCAGACACAATTCCTCTGCCCCAATCCATTTTGAGGTTTCTTCTTGACATGGCACATTTTTTTTTTTTTTTTTTTGAATGTAATGTTAAATTATATTCAAAGAAAAAATATCGTTTTTACAACTCGTGCAACGTTCATCTTAAATCAAAACATAATTGAAATCTGAAACTCAAAAGAATTTAAAGTCTTGATTCAAACCACTTTTGCAATCCTTTGTCATATCTACCATCACCCAACAGTTTGATGGAAGAGAGTGTATCGATCCAACCGATTAGTTGACCTGCTGAGTTATGAGCTTCCCCATGTCGCCTGCCATTCCGCTCACGCCAGATTGCGTATACTGATGCTTGGAAGATGTACCGAGCCAAGAAGCTCTCTGTTCTGTTTTGCTGCATATTGGAGAGATAATCGATGAGAGAGTGCCAAGCTGTTGATGACATGGCTCATTCACTATCACCACAGTTGCGTCATGCGACTCCAGTGATCTTGCAAAAGCAATCATCTCTGATAAGTTTTGAGGCTGCATCACGTCGTACACCCTGTCCTGAATTTCTTGTGTTAAACCACACAGAAAAATCCCTTAAGCTTACCCTCATCTAACCCCGTGACTTGAGCAGATAATTCTTCGAATCTTTGCACATACTCAGCAATTGTACCCTTCTGTTTAATGCAAAATAAGCTTTGACTTGGACCTGTAACTATCAAATTACCAAATCTAAGAAGCAATCTGTCTTTAAAGTGAAGCCAATTCTGAAATGGCAACCTAGTAAGGTACCAGTCCAAGGCAATACTCTTTAAACTAACATAAGCAAACTCTAATCTTTCAACCAAGACCCTCGAACCCTTCCGTGCTCTCTCCAGCATGAATCTCAAGGATGCTCAATGGATTTTCTCTATATGAAGTAATGTCTGAAAAGACGAATGTGTTTCATTTTCATATAGTATATGTACATGCTCTTTTAACCAAATAATCCGTAGAATTTTGCTTCAGGTCTTAATATAAGATATTGTTTCTTGCTGCATGAGCTGATCAAAAAATAGTTTTGCATTTTCCAATAAAACTTCCAGGTAAAACTATTTGATATGGCTAGTCACTGTTCCCTTCAGGTTATTGCAAGATGATACAAGACTATGGTTAGGATGATTAGGGTAGGATTAGGACGTTTTAATTAATTAGTTTTGGTGTTTTCTTTTTAATTTAAAAGCAATTACGTATTTCTTTTTGACATTAGGTTTAGGGTTTGTGGTTTTCCTTTTTACCTTAGTTACACCAAGGTCTATATAAAGACTTCTTATGATTAATAAAGAATGAAGCTCCAACAATTAACCTGATTCTCTAAGAGAGAGTTGGGTTAAAGGGAAGCTTTTGCTTAAAACCTTTGGCTCATAACACAAGAAAACAGAATTATCAAGATATGAGAAATTTCTTGCCTGGTGATTGTAGAGTAATGGCGCATTTCTTGTTTATGCTGTTCCGACAATAGTGTTTTCAGAATTTGTTTAGGTCAAGTTTTCAGCAAAATTTGGAAAAGAAAGCTCAGTGAAAGATGTTAATGAACTAACCAGTCCTGGGAGAAGAAACATAGGACCACCATAATCGCCTGGCCAGTGCCCGTCTTCCGCCTGTATAGTTAGAATAGAAATCTAGACCCCTCTTTAACGTGTTTCCCACCATCTCCTCTGTAACATCATCAGTATCTATATCTTCGATTTTAACTTGAGGTACAACTGTGCTAATCAAAATTTCTCATGAAAATACAGATAGAGAAAGAGAGAGAGAGATAATCTTCAGATTAGAAAACAATTTTTTAAAGCAATTTAATGGTTGAATACTGAGAATTGAGGAGAATGCCATGGACTCAAAAGCTAAAAGAATAATGAAAGCCAAAAGATTGCAAACTACAGAAACACAACAGATTACAATAGGTAATCAAGAAATGCCTACAAATAACTGTAGCAATAAGTTAACACAGGTATTCAGATCTCAGCTTTAGAACAACTCTTCAGTTGTAGAAGTAAATGAGTAAAAGAATTATATGGTCTTGTCACTTTCTCTAGATTGCAGTCTTTAGATTGAAATTGATACTTTTCACTTTCATTGGTAAAGAAAGTGCAGAAGCTACATGAAAATGGAAACAATAGAGTTGGGTCTACTACACTAGCAGATGGCCATCATCAAGAGAAGCAGTTCTTTTGTGGCTTCATCTTAGAAATCTAGAAACTACCTGTCTATGCTCTTTATTTCTCTTCCTGATTCCATGACGCAACACATTTTTCAGTATCACTAACTAAAACGATGGTCTACAGAACCATCGAGGCTTGCCACCATTCAGGACCACGAAAAGTCAACGAATAGAAAGAGAAGGAAGCGATAATACCTGAAGGCGCATAAGCAGATCGAAGCTATATGTTTCTGCAGGAATCGATTATCTGAAAAAGACATCCTAGATTCCTCGACGGCGGCGAGATCCGCATGTGTACCGAGCTTCGGACCGAAAACTGCCTTCCGACGGGATTATTAGTGGTTCTAAGCCATTGACTACCTCCTTCCGCGATCTTCAGTTTCCACACTATCGGTCGGAGAAAATGAAGATGTCGCTTGATCGCAAAATGGTTTAATCAAAGATGACTAACATCCACTCCCAAGCATGCTTTTATCACTTGGATTGCAATCAACAACCGCTTAGCCACGGGAGACAGATTAATCAAATGGAATGCAAGTTCAAACGAAAGTTGTGTTTTATGTGGGCAAGGTGTAGAGACAAGGGACCACCTTTTTTTCTCATGTCACTACTCCTCCCAAGTTTGGTCAGCACTCGCTCGTGACATGCTAGGCAACAACTTCACGGCAAGATGGGAATCTCTCCTACCATTACTCAACGCTCCATCAACTCCACGGCTTCACTTATTTGTGTTGAGATAAGTGTTTCAGCTTACAATCTATAACATTTGGCGAGAAAGGAATGGACGAAGACATGGAGATACTCCGACGCCAGCATCCAAACTCACTCGCTTGATCGACAAGAACGCTAGAAACCGGCTGAGTACTTTGGCTCAGTCGGGCTCACCGGTATACGAAGGTGGTTTGCGCTACTGGTTCCACACCCATAGCCAGTAATCTCCTTCTCAGTTTTTTTAAAAGTTATATGAACTGTTTCATCTCTTTGAACTAAATGATGCATTATTTGTAAAACAGTCTTTTTAACTTGTTACACAGAAAGAAACAACTAGAACAGGACATCTCCAATGAACCTATATTTCTTACAAATGAATACTAGATTTTAATAACGTTTTGAATTATAAGTTTTACTTGAAATCCCAATATGCCATTTATTTTTTCTAGCCACCAAAAAATTGCTAAAACCAGTCTTAATTGGTTCTGTGATCTCTTTAGCTATCATCCTTAGTAGAACAAGTTTTCATTGCTTTCTTTCATTAGCACTATTAGTTTCCTATCTGCGTAAATGATATATCACTGTAACACATTGCTATAGGAAAATTTTATAAGTAACACTAATTGAAATTCACTCATGGCTCATCTAGTACAATGTGCACAAAGAGAAAAGTTTCATAATGGCTTCACAACATGGCTAAATCATAGTGTGGCAAATCTAGGTGTCACAGTAAGAGTAGGTTCAACTAACTCTATTGTCTCCACTTTCATGTGGGAATTAAATAATGAAATTGCAGAGCTACGAAGAAGCATGGCAGACTTTAATGAGCAATCTCACGAGACATAAGTGTTACCAAGAACTGCACATGGAAAATTAAACGCTGTGAGAACACCAAAAATGCCAAGAGGATTCCACATCTGCGTTACAATGTTCAAGCCGAATGTTAATCATCTCTTAAGAAATGTATCCACAAAAATCCGACAAAACAAACTTGCAATTCACCTCTAACATCACGTGGTTAGGGCCTGCAAAGAAAAAAATGATAATGAGTTTAGAGAAAAATCTTATTTTGGCTGCTTCCTCGTAATCTTCTAGAGAAGCTTCCACAACTTGGGCATTTGGCTGCATCAGTCCAAAAAAGTGATTATCGAGCACAACAATATCATACAAACATTATTTAACCATGCTTCACACACACAAACAAAAGATTCTAAGGAGTTAGCTTTCT